TATATATATATATAAGGGGGTGACGGCGTGACTGTAGACAGTGAGTAATTGATCTGCAGTCAGAGAGTATTATTGAAATTGAGCACGTTCGTTGTTATAGCGTTTGTTTTAGCGCGATTGTTGAAATTAAGTGTATCGTAAAGTTATATTCGGAAAGAATAAACCAGTTTTATTAAGTAAGGACTTGTGTGGCTAAAGTTTCGTCGGAACGAATTTACGGGAAATCAATTAACAAACGGAGACGTAACAATATGATCATAAAGTCCAAGAGCATGTACTTTTTCAATTGACCCCTTTTCAATTCATAACAACACTAGCTGGTTGCTTTTACTGCTGACGCTGCCAATCTGTTTTATTCATCTGCTTTTGTTTCAGTTATAATGCTGAAAAAGCATTCAATCAGTATTTGAGAATGGAAGATAAAACAATTTCACTAGCTTCAATAAACTAGAAAATTTCGAAATAGAAGTAAGAAAATAAAACTTTCACATATGGAATTCGTAAGTGTATTGGTATGTGTAGGATCTTCAAAGTCAAGCGCTGGGTGAAATAATTGCAATGCAACCCGTTACTTAAGCAATCTATCCACATGCTGGTTCACTGACAACCATCCGGTCTGACGAGAGGCCAGAATCGTATGCATTTTATTGTCAAAAATGACTAAAATTCCTTTAAAACCTTTGTCCATTAGCAATAAAACAAAAATGTGTATACACATCTAAAAAAAAATGTCTTCAAGACAGTTAAGGAGCTTCTTGCGGACTTTTGAAGTAGTTTCTAATAATCATTATAAATTATGGACAAAATTTTAAACAGGTATACCATGAAATTTCTAATGTTTTTTAATGTAGAAAATTTTGAAATGTTTTGTTTATTCTGTATCAATGCAGTTTTCGCATGACACATGGTCTAGAAAGTCTTTAAGTTAATTTTATTCTTTCTGCTTTTGTTTCTTTGTTATTCTATGGAGATAATAGCTATTTTACCTGTGGAAGAAGAGGTATTATTTTATTGCTGAATGTTATACAAGAATGTACAGATGATAGTATCTTTTACTGGTAGGTGAGATGATATCTCATGGTTATGGCCTTCCTTACATAAAATGAGAATAATCAGCCACGTGCGTAGCGCTAGTCTTTATGGGTAAATTCGACATTTCACATGAAGTAAGGAACATTAGATTTCAACAGTATAAACAAGATCTCAAGTGCGCTAGTTGATGGGAAGACAGCTTGAGGGAAGAAAACCTGTTGAAGAATTCAGGAGTGCAGGGAAAAGTGTGCACACTAGGTTTTGTCTTTGAATAAATAAAGATTGTTCTCGTTTTTTACTACATTTTGTGTCCAACTTGTTTATTACACTTCAACGTAAGTATACCACAGAAAATGTAAAAAAAGCGAAATTTTGTTAGCGTGACCACTGCAGGATATTATTGTAAGGTTTTCTGTTTTTACTAGTACGTGTGTATTGCTCTTACTTGAGTCTTTGAGTTATGTTAGTTTAAAGGAATACTATTTACTGAAAGAATGGCATTTTTAAAGTAGATTTTGTTTGTTTGTTTGTAATTAAGCACAAAGATACACAATGGGCTATTTGTGCTCTGCCCATCACGGGTATCAAAACCCGGTTTCTAGCATTGTAAGTCCGCAGACATACCGCTGTGCCACTGGGGGAGGGGCTTTAAAGTAGAAGTACTAACGACCAAAATAGTTTGCCACTGAAGAGAGACAGTTGTACAAAGGAGTTGTTGACTCTAGGAGGAGTACACTTCTGGACATAGGACTTTCAACAATGTTATGAAGGTGTTTGACAAATATGGTTCTGCAACTGCAGACTCAAAATGATCAGCTGACGTCTGTTGTACCAAGAATGGCACATCAGGTGTTGCTCATAAGAATCAACCTTGGTACAGGGGAAGCACATATGACTGAGGTTCGCCTACATGGACTGGCATCTGGTGAGTCATAGATCATAAAGGGGTCTCTAAAGGACTCCTACCCATTTGCCAACCAGAGTAATACAGCCCCAGCTCTGGTTAATACCAACCAAGTAGAACTAAGCAGCTGATGGTGGACATACTCT